AGATAGGCTGAGAACCATGGGAGTTGTAGTTCAGCAACATCTGGAGGGCCACAATTTGGGGAAGCCTGCACTATATTATCCCTTTAAACAAATGGTTCTGAAACAAAGAAGTCAAAAGTTATTCCACATTTTTCTTAATGTGACATTCTTTTAACAGTCCCCCTTCTATTTCACTCAGATTTGAGGGGTCAATAAAAGTCATGTAATTTATCATAAGGTGTTAATCATTGTTCTATAAAAAGAAACAAACCGCTCATTGTTGTTTGTCTTTGGCATTTAAACCACGTTTCTTTTTGCATTCACAATCGCTTAATAAAACTAAACAACAACTAACATGTAATTACTGGACTCAAACGGGCATTTTTTTATACTTGGCTTCATTCTATTTCCTGGTTATTCATGGCAGTGTACACAAAAAGGCAGCCCCGCCCAATCACAGCAAGGTAGGAAAAAAACAAAACTTAATATGAAAGCTGCCTTATCGTGACCTTCAGTTAGATACCAAAGCTTTTAAGGTAAATGAAATGCCTAAACAAGGGAGGGAAACCATATGTTGCCAATAATAATAGCCAGGAAAATAAAATTATGCTAACTATGAATATAAAAGCAAGAAGGAAAAAAATTGTGCCGAATATTCATATGCCATGTTTTGATTGTTATGCCTATTACTGCTTACGACTGCCATTGTGGCTGAGTAAGCCTGTTACACCGTGCACAACAAAAATAAAGAATTACAAAAAAGAAGGAAGTAGCAATGTAAAAAAATTACAGTAGTTAAGTGGTAGAAAGGAACCATAGAAGTGAACCATATAACTCAAGGAGGCGTAATCTGGTAACCATTTCTCTGTTTCTGGAGCAGATAGACAATAACAGCAGTGGCTAAGTGGCCTCCCAAAGCCTGAAAGGTTCTATATGGAGCCATTTGGTAAACATTACAGCTAAAAAAGTGCAAAGGGAGCCCCGGTGCTGGAAAAAGGCATTAACCTATTAAATGATGAACAAGGGGGAGGTGTGGGTACCTAATACAAATATGGACAGGGATACTGTAGCATTGGCAATACAGACTTGCAGTCAGCCCCATTTTAGTGTCATTCTGCTGTGGTGAGTTCCTTCCAAATTTCTGTCCCTTCCATGGCACTATGGAATACAATGTCAAACTCTTATCAAGTTAACCCCTATTATCCAAGCACTTATGAGACTGGCTTCAGTAAGAAATGCATGTTCTCTGGGGAAGGGAAACAAAAATCCACAAGTAAATGGCTACACCACGAGTCCACCAGGTAAATTAAAGCTAGATTTGTTTCAGAGAGAACTGTGCAGATTTTCAAGTGAATTATGTAACTGATTCTTTACACACGATAGACAGAGTTTGCTACATATAAACAGATACATATTTTCTACATTTAAACTGAATTTTTAGACAGCAGTTTTTAGTTTTGATAAAGGTCCCGTGCTATGAAGACCGGAATGTTCCTACCTGTCTTAAATATACTACAATAACACTTTTTGACTGACCAGTGAGTTCTTAAAGTGTTACTCCAACCACCATGACCACTTCAGTGATTGGAAGTGGTCATGGTGGTAGGAGCCTGGGTGTGCAGTTCTTCTGCTTGAAACACTGCACATTCAGAGTTATTGTTAATTATGTGCTGGGGGCTAGTTGCAACTCTGTTCCGGGCTGTCTAATGTAAGTACTGAACATAAAAAACATCTGTCTTTAGTGCACACTGCCGATAGATGTAACAATATTCTCCTTGCTTCACAATCCAGAATTTCCTCCCGCCCCGTGCCATTGCTCTTATTTGTTTTATTGTATTTATTAAAATCCAGAATCCCTCCCTCCAAAATTCCTTCTCACTCCGTCTCACCTCGCCAGCTCTGATTGCGTGCATGCACTCTGAGCAGGTGAAACGGACCAATCACAGACTTCTCTATGAGAAACCTGTTATTGGACTGCAAGAGTGATGGCTGACATCATGATGGGCTATGGAAGATCAGCACCGGGAGCTTTGCTTGGTGCTAGATTGAGGTAAGTAAATAACATTTTTACAAGTGAAGGGACCTGTTATTGTTAATGAAACAAATATATATTTTTAGCATTAGGGTTAGAGTAACCCTTTACATTTTTGCAACAGGCACAGAGACATTGATCTTCTCACATTGCTAGATTGTTTTTTTTTATGACATGAATCAAAGGGCATGCACATTACAAATAATAACTTGGAAGGAGATCCTGGTGAAAACTAGGCAATCATTTAGTTCTAGTTAAAAAAAAAAAAATAACAGGATTGAGTTCACAAGTCAAAATAAAATTTTAAACTATTAAAAAAAAATATAAAAATAGAGAAGAAGAGTCTGCGCTGACTCAATTGAGCAGCAACCCTGAAAGGGAATCCCTCACAGAACCCTTAAGGTAAAAAGATACAGAAAAAGGAGTTGAGGGCTGCGCTTAGCAAAAGATAGGCAAAAGAAGGTAAAAATAAATGGAGATAAAAAACAATAAGTTCATCCACATATAAGAAAAGTATGAGTAAAACAATCTCACTGATGTGCAGTGATATAATATAAGTCCTCAAATGTCACTCCGTCCTTATGGTGGGTGGTCCATATATGTGAAGACAAAATGAGAGAAGAGAGGCTTCCAATGGTGAAATATTGTATGTCCAAGATATAATATATATTCAAAGGAAAAGGTATTTCACTCACATTTGTTGGAGCTTTATCCAGCTCTCGGAGAGAAGGCACTTAGT